TAATACTGTTATATTCTAAGAGAGTCGTTATAACCATACTAATATGACGGAGTGACTGTCCTAATGTTCTTCAGACGTCGGTTTCGTTTAAGACATTTGTCACCCTAGACTGGCCGGTCTAGCTGTAGCGAACAGCGAAGGTGCGGGGTGTCAACGCCGTATAGATCTATACACAAATTCCCGCTCTCTCTCCAGGAGACTCTGGTTATAACTCTTACAGGACTTTAAACGTACACTATTATATATATAGGTACAGCGAAGATGCGTCTGAGTAGAATACTAACAGATATTTGTGTAAATCATTGATATCCGTTATTTATCAAATAAATAACAATAGTTGTACTCGTTAACTAGATATATCGTTTTAGTTTGTTAAAAATAATCCACTTTGAATCATGTTTGTCAAAAATGACCCAGTAATATCGATATTTCCATAATTTTAACCACTTCCAAAATATTTTGTCCAACAACTTGTTTAAGCAAATTTTGAAGCAATCCTTATGGTTTTTGTCATAAAACTTAGTGACTTATATTTTTGTAACATACTAGTTCTTGGTTCCATACACAATTTGTAAAATATGGTTCAAGCTCTTGAGACATGCACAAGATTTCGAGTTCTTGGACAATATCATATGGAGTATTTGTAAGTTTAGCACATATAACTTAGCATACATGCATAACAAGCAAACATATCAAGACTTAAACAAGGCTTTGACTTGTATCCTCCCCCAAAAACAATGAAAAGCTCGAAAATAAGGGTATGAAGCTCACATTGAGTTGGTTTACGGGATGATTGGAGTGATGGTGTGAAGATCTCAAGTCTAAACTTTTGGACGAGTTGAGGAACTTCCTTGGAAGGAATGTTGTCCTAAGAGTTTTTCTCACATATCATTATGGGTGAAATAATGTGAATTTATCTTGAAAATTATATAAAATACTAGATAAATGGAATAACTTACTTAAAACTCTAAGGAGAACTTAAGAAGTTATTGCTCTTACTATTGAGAGAAGTATTGTAGAGAATATGAGAGAAGTGAGAGAAATGGTGGAGTTTAAAGTTCTCTTACTGTCGTTGTTTTAAGGGATAAAAGGGAGATATGTGCTTGGAAATCTGAAGGTTTAAAACATTGTTATTTGATGGGCAATGCATGGGTTACTGTGAATTGCAATGAGAATGGGGGATTACATCAAATCATAAAGTCAAACCCTCTTATCACTTTATGATTTAAAATAATATCATTGTCTTATTCATATCAATGATTTAAAATAATATCTTTATAAATATTAAATATTATTTTATGTAAATATGTTTTAAATATTCAAATTTGGCATAAAATAGGGGTCTAAGGGGTCTAAGTTATGAAAAACAAGAGTTTGGGGGGGATTTCCGACGTCAAAATATCTTAAAATGACGAAATGGTTCGAGACGGTCTAAAATCCGGAGTCAAATGGTGAATTCTGAAGTCTCTTTTCAGGTTCCGGAGTCAAACCATGAGTTCCGAAATCCCTTTTCAGGTTCCGGAATCGCACAGCAGCTTCCGAACTCGAGGGTTGCGAAGTCAGCTTAAGTCCAGAGTCGTTTCCTTCCGAGGCTGCGAGGGTTCCGAGGCAGCGAAGGCTTCCGGTCCGAAGTGCGAGATTGTCCGGTCCCTTTAGAAGGTCTGAAGTCAGAGGCTCCAGGATGGTAAGAAGGGGGGGTTTCCGGAGTCACTTAGAAGTTCTGAGATCAGGAGGTTCCGAACTAAGAAGAGAGGCTCTGAGAATGAATAGTATATTCCGGAATGGGCTTGTTCTTTCGAGTTTTCTCCTTTCGTTTTGAGTTAGTTTCGACTAAGGGAGATACATAGAGAGATTTGAGAGAGATTTGAGATACATAGAGAGATTTGGGAGAGATTTGAAATATATAGAGAGATTTAAGAGAGATTTGAGATACATAGAGAGATTTGGGAGATATATATATATATATATATATTATATATATATATATATATATGCTTTGTATTATAACAATACATGGTTCATTAGGAACCATAGTGTAAACTTTAACGTGTTAGTACAAGTCTTACAATAGTTGATGTTTACATGAGGACAAAATTTCCTAGCTAAAAATGCTAGCTGTTACATCATCCCCCCGTTAGAGGGAATTTCGTCCCGGAATTCTTTTGAAAGGTAGGATCATGAATGAGAGAATAAGTGAGGGTACTTCTGCTTCATCTGGTCTTCGTGTTCCCAAGTGAATTCCGGTCCACGCTTAGCGTTCCATCGAACCTTCACAATCGGAATGCGACTCTGTTTCGTGCGCTTCACTTCCCTATCCATTATCTCGACCGTTTCTTCGACGAACAGGAGATTCTCGTTTATCTCGATCTCTTCTAGAGGAATGACAAGGGTTTCATCTGTTAAGCACTTTTTCAAATTTGATACGTGGAACACGGGGTGTACGTTGCTGAGCTTCGGAGGTAGCTGCAACTTATAGGCCACCGGACCAATTCGGGCAAGAATCTCGAACGGTCCGATGTATCGCGGGTTTAACTTTCCTCGTTTCCCAAAATGGATCATCCCTTTCCAGGGAGAGACCTTTAATAGCACTCGATCTCCGACTTGGAACTCTAGAGGTTTTCGTCGTTTGTCAGCGTAACTCATTTGTCGGTCACACAATGCTTGGAGTCAGGCTTTGATTTGGATTATCTTCTCTGTAGTTTCTCCAGAAGTAACAAAGTACGTGTGAATATTTATATAAAAAAAAAGATGATAAACTTTTATATCAGAGAGTTTAAGTCCCTTATATTAAAAATACTTTAGATGTAGTATATGTGTCATTAAAAAACAATCTACTTAATAATATATCTTATTGAAAATAATTAATTGATTTTATAATATATTTGAAACTACCCAAATTCAAGCACATTTATATGTTAGTAAACAAAAAAAATGGTGTAAAATATAATATAAATTAAAATCAAATTTGGTGTAAAAACAATTTGTGTAAAATACAATACTAAACTTTAAACTAAAATAATATTTTCTGTTGTATTTAATTTGATATAAAATTTTATTTTTAAGATATTATATTTTATTTTTATTAAGGTGCTAAATTAAAATTAAAAGAAAAAAATCAAATATGAGTTAAATGATTAAAAACGATAATTGAAGGTCCATTTTGAAATTAATGAAATCAGTTATATATGTTCGATGGGACCCAAATATAAAAAACCCCATTTTTACTAATCATTTTAAAAGAATCCTATTTTTACAAAAGGTTTTGCAAACAGCCTACTTTTACAAAAAAAAACTCGAATATATATCGAGCCCATTTTTTGCCCACACCCAAAGTCAATATTTCAGTCAAACATCTCTTTCTCTTTCAAGCTGAAAGGGGACTTATTTGTTTCATCTCTTAGACAACTCTTCTAGTGTTCCTAACCCTTCTTTATATTTCCTCCCACAAAAAGTATTCATAAACAGCTCTTGCAACGGGTGGCTTTTTTGCAAATCATATGATGATAAAAATTAATTTTACGCATTTAACCCTGCAAACAAAGAGGGGATGAGCTGCCAAAATTCTAGTTACTACTTGCATGGAAAAAGAACCAAAAATTATGCTTGCTTTTGAACCTTCTTCTTTAAGCTTTGAGCCATGTTATCAAGTTATATTCCCGTTTTCTAATCCAAATTAATGAGGGACGCATTCCTATTTTGTATTTTGACATATACTCCTATTATTCAAAGACAAAATCTTGGAGGACATCTATTATATGATATATGTGTGGATTTGGATATAAAAATGATCGATGGCATTTTTTGTAAATGGATCGAGTTGTTTACTGGGAACGGACAGGTGGCGAGATGTTGCGATTTGATTGGAAGAATGAGATTACGGGATTTCAGACACTTCCAGTTGATGGTGCTTTCTCGAAGGTAAATGGAGAGTTGTGCTATGTCAAAGGGTATTATTGTCATTCTGTCAGAATGTGTGTATAATGTATTGGACGTTTATTGTGGAGAAGATTAGTTTTGATGTTCCTTTTGATGGTGTTGACATGGTGAGATGGTTGATTGCAGGGTTTTGGGTAATTCTTGTGATGATGTTGTAGCTTTCGTGTTGGAGAAGTCTGAAGGGCAGAATTGTCTTTTTGAAAGGCCATGGCTTCTTTATGATATTTCTTGAGATGTTTGATGCTGTTGTTTTTTGACATATACTTGTTCATTAATCCTTATATTAGCCGACATATTATTAGAGAAATTGTTGTGTATATTCAAGATAAAGATTTGAATTTCCTTGTACTTATCTAATCTCTGATTTATCGTGATATCTTATGCCTTCTTGTATGTGGAATGTAATATGATATACGGAATTATACCAATCTTTACACTCCATATAATTCTGTAAAATAGGGAAGGGGAATATTGGATACACATTGAAAGATTACGAAAAACTATTATAAATAATTTAATTATTGCATTAATTGTGCGAAAACAATTGCGAAAGGTAACGAGCAAACCCCTCCTCCTCCTCTCTCTCTCTCTCTCTCTCTCTCTCTCACAGAGGTTTTCAGAGCGATTTCCGTTTTCGAGGTTTTACAGCGATTCGCATTTTCATCTGTAAGTTTTCTTCAACGTCTTTACGATTATATTAAAACAATACGAAAGTTTCTCTGATTGCTTGTATCTGTAGATTCTGTATCACTACATGCATGAATTTGCTAGGGTTTTGTTTTTGACGATGAAATTAAATCCTCTGTTTTCGTTCTTCTCTTTGATTTATTGATTTCCGTAGAATTTGTTCTCAATTCTCGATGAATAAACAACCATTTTTTTCATTATAAGTATGTAATGTATGGTGTTGGATAAATAACTGGTTTTCGATTTCTTATTCACTCATTGTCCACTTTTTTCTCCTTCAATCGATAGGTTTTTGATGATGAAGAAGTTTTCAGGAGGAAGTTCACAGTGATGATGGATCTTACGAATTGATCGACTTTAATGATTATGCTGGGGACATGGAACATCTGAATACTACAACAAACGATCACTCGGGGTTCGAAGATTCAAGCAATAAAGATGATGGCAATAATGAAGAAGAAGATGATAATGAAGGAGAAGAAGAAGTATCTGGCATGGATTTTGCTGATAGTAAGAAAATTACGGTAATACCCCTGTCCTTGTTTTGTTAATCGTTTCTTTTACTGAATATTCATTATCACTCGTTTTCAATTACAGGGTAGAAAGTGCACCATGGATTATGATGAAGACACACCGATAAAAGAAGTAGCAAAAACCTACATCCTCCATTACCTTCCCGCCAAATCATTAGCCAGGTGTCGTCTTGTCTCTAAAGAATGGGATTCATGGATATCAAGCCCATTCTTCAAACACTCCCAAAGTCAACATTTTAGTCAAACTTCAGGCTTTTTTCGAGATGAAGATAAAACTACTACTTGCTTCATCTCTCTTGACTACTTCTCTTATGGGGTTCCTTACCCTTGTTTATCTTTCCTCCCAAAAAAAGCTTTCATAAAAAGCTCATGCAACGGGTTGCTTCTTTGCCAATCTTTTGAAGATGATGAAAATTACGTTTGTAACCCTGCAAACAAACAGTGGATTGAGCTTCCAAAATATAGCTTCTACCATGGAAAAGAACCAAAAAAGTGTGCTCGCCTTTGAACCTTCTTCTTTAGAGTTTGAGCCATATTATCAAGTTATATGTCCATTCTCTATACCAGGTGAGGAACCCATTTTGTATTTTGACATATATGATTCAAAGACAAAATCATGGAGGATTTGTGATGAGATATGTACGGATTTGAATGAATCTGATATAAAAACCGATGGCATTTTCGTAAATGGAGTTGTTTACTGGGAAACGACAGGTGGCAAATTGTTAGCCTTTGATATGAAAAACAAGATCTACAGTATTCAAACACTCCCTGTATTTGGTGGTGTGTTGTCGAAGGTACATGGAGAGATATGTTATGTCAAAGGGTATTATCGTCATTCAGACAAAGAGTTCGTATTAAATGTTCATCATGGTGGTGGTTTAATGACATTGAAAAACACCATCACTTTTGGTGTTCCTTGTGATGATGTTATTGTTGAAAGTGGTAATAAGAAGGTGGTCAAATGCGAAATTTTGGGTAATTCATGTGATGATGTGGTTGCTGTGATTTTGAAGAGGTCTCAATGGTACGAAAGTCTTTTTGTCTATCATGTCAAAGATCGAAGGGTCGAGGGCCCCTGGTTTCTCCAACGGTATTTTAAAAGTAAGTTGTTTCCTTACGTCAATAGTCTTGTCTGCATAGCTGCCTAGATAATATTTCATTATTGTTTATAAAACATTGTTTTTTTTTTTCTTTTCCACGTTCTTCCCCTAATTACTTATCAAGGGTTTTTGAGATGTTTGTTTTATTTTCTAATGACATTGTAGTTTCTTGAGATATTTAATATATTGTTTTTTTGGGATTAATAACAATATATTACAATATTACAATGTTTAGTTGACTCGGTGTTGTGAACTTATTTGACAATGTCAAAAGTAAAATCAGTCTGTTATGTAACGTTTTATATTTGTATGTTTAGAATGGATCATTTGTTATACTCGTTAGACATTTAGGAAAATATTTAGCCCTTTTTTCTTAATTAGGTTTGGTCCCAGCTATTGCACTTGTAAAAAAAAGAACTCCTAATTTTAAATTTGTTTATATTTATATAACTTTTTTTTTTGTGTGTGTGTGGACAGAAGGATCGATTTGTCACAAATATTAATTATCTGAATCCAAGGTGGGCAATTTTTTAAAGCTTTTAATGTTGGGCTTCATGGCTACAACTAGAAGTTAGAAATGCAGTAATTAATTGGATATTGTTGTTTATTTGATTGATTAACGGGGAATCTTGAGATTTGGGGCGACTTTGGATTAAGAAAAGAACATGAGTTTGCATGGGATATAAAACAGAGATGGAAGCCCAAGATCAAACTCAGAGTCTACTTTTTGAAGCCCAAGGCTGGAAGCCCAGAGTCTAGATTTTTGTTTCAACCTGGGCTTTTAACGGTCCATTTCGATCATAAATACACAAAATCCTGCACTAACCGGGCTTATCCGGGTTTAAAAAGATTGATATATTATATATATTGACAACTATGTGAAAATTGCTCACTAACGTTCTAACTGAATCAAATACAACCCCCTCTCTCTAAAAGAAGTGCATAGGTTCCTTGAAATCCGATTGATTACAGGTAATGAAAATGGTGTTGGTGGCTGATTAGGGAGATGGTGGTGTGGTGGCCTGGTAAAGATGACAATGCGGGAACAAATTAATCCTTAGAACCATTTGTAAAAGAACGATTTGTACATATCTTCATCAAACTCTTTCCATAAATTAGACGTTTGTTGTGGAAGGTGGTTGTGTCGGAGTCAGTAGGGCGGATCTTAATATCCTACAATCTTATGTTTGATCTTGCTACAAACTAATCATATTGAGTTTTGTATCGTTTTTGGCTTATAGGGTCACATTTAATAATCTGTCAATTTTTATAAAAGGATTTTGAAAATCCATGTCTACTAATCATCAAGGCCGGCCCTTTGAGGGTTCAAAAGGTTTAGCTGAACATGGATATAGTATCTAGAGGGCCAACAAGTTTTAGGATAATATATAACTAAAGGTTGAATCTGTTGTTGCCGACACAGTGAGATGATTCATTTCCCTTCCTCGGTTCTCGTTTTCTTAATCATACGCAAGCAAGTTGCAAAAATGATGAGACTTGATTGATTCGCATCCCCTGTCTTTCGTCTAATGTGTTCATAAATAAGAATTATCCAAGGTTTTGAAAATCACAATTCTTTTTTGCGAGTAATCCACTTTTATTTTTGGAAATTCGAAGCTTAAAGGTGATTTGTTCAACCCTCAAAAGTGATACAAACGATCGTTGAACCCATCGCTTTACATGTGATTCTTATTCTTCGTTCTTTAAAGTTGTAGTTTCCACATCACACAAAAGAGGCACATTTTTGAGCTTTTAAAGTCAAGTATGCTCATTTCAACTTTCATTTTCTTTTGAAACAAGATTACACACTCCATGACATTTCTGTGACATGTATATGGCCTATCGATTTTTGAAAAAGGCATTGTAGTCAACTTGATTTTCTCCTCAAGTTGTCTACATTGGTAGCTGAGCTTACTCCTTGCTAACAAATTAACTGAGCTTACTCCTTGCTAACAAATTTTATTTCTATATGTAAAAAAGGAGTTGTGCAATTTGCAGTTTGTCTTATTTATCAAAATTGTTGGATTTATCATCTTTGTAATTTAATACACTCTTGCAACATTTTTGGTTAAATCTTTCAATTTAAACTGTGTTGATATGATATTGGTTGTTATGGGCTTTTAGTTTTGCTATAAGGATTCCATTTAAATTGAATTAAAGATGATGTTTGGTACGATTGAATTCCGAAAGAAATGGAATGGTTTATTTTACGGTAATGGAAAAAAGTTGTTAGTTTTATAAAGAGAAAAAAATATAAAACATATTTATGTAATTTTTATAATTTATAAGTTTTTTGGGCTTAAAATTACTAAATTGCCCACGGCCTTTGAAATGTAGCCTTCAGCCCTGCTAATCAAATATAATAAGATAAGATCTATTTATTCAAATATTTGAATATAATATTATGGTTTTATAATTATGATAAGGAAAAATGACACATTAGCCCTACTATGTATTACGACTTTACGTATTCAGTCACTAAAATTATTTTCTAGCCTTTTGAGAGAACAATATATTTAGTCACATGTCCATTTAGTCCCGTTAACCTTTTTTAACCGGTTAATAAAACCACATAACCAACTTAAGCCAAGCTTTGACCATACGACTTGTTGACTTGCCTAGTCACCTTTGATGATTTGACCTTTTTAATAAAAAAATTAAAGAAAATTAGGGTTGATTTGGCAACTCCGTCGGCTACAAGCTCACCTGCATCTATGAAATTGTTCTTTATATAAAACAAAATCAACCACAATTGAATCTTTTAATCAAATGCTTCGAAATTTCTCCTTGTGTAAATCAACACGATCTAAAACACATACACATTTAATCGATGATTCAACATTTACTCATTTAGGAAGTGAATTCAGCGCATGAATTACAATCGGAACAACATATAAACTAGATATTGATCTCTGGTACGTGATATAATCACAAATAATAATAGTTCCTAAAAGAGAATTATCACAATCATGAGTCTTAACCATATCAAATTTGTAATCAAAATTTAAATGTAAGAAGTTGATTGGAAATGGTGTTGATTCTTTGTTTTGGACGATTGTGTGGATTGGTGATATTACGCTTAAGGACCAGTTCCCTTGTTTATATACTTTACAGCTAAATAAGAATGCTTTTGTAGCTGTCAAGTTTAGTACTATCTCGTGGTTTGATTCTTTGTTTTGGACGATTGTGTGGATTGGTGATATTACGCTTAAGGACCAGTTCCCTTGTTTATATACTTTACAGCTAAATAAGAATGCTTTTGTAGCTGTCAAGTTTAGTACTATCTCGTGGTTTGATTCTTTCCGTCGTCCTTTGCTAGGGTGGCGTTGAAAGTGAGCAACCTGCAAGTCTTAGTTCTTGCGTGGAGTTAGTTAACCTTAATTCTTTTCCTGCTAGATATGTTTGGGATCTTGAAGTTTCGGGTGGTTTCACAGTCTGTTCTTCTAACATCCGCAGATTCGGATTAGTCAATTTAGAGATAATAAACATTAAAAATGACTTTTTGATAGAAGATTATTTAGGACAAATAATCTTAACAAAAGTTATAGTATATAGTTACAAGGATTTTGTACATATAAAGACCGCTAAAATCCGACTTCATATGAAAGAGTTATGCTTCTTCGAAGTTTCGCGATTAAACCGGCACGACTCTACGTATCGTAAAAAGTGAATTTTTGATAAGTGGCTTATTAGCCTAAGAGGTCTAAAAGAAAGTCGTAGAAGTCGTTAAACTGAGAGAGTGCATATAGAGAACGTCCAAATCTGACTTCATGAGAGGAAGTTATGATTTTTCTAAGATTCAACGTAGCAGTATACAGCTCAGAAATCGAATTTTAGATCGGTTAATTGTTATGAAAAACAATCTAAATGAGAGTTGAATATCTCTTCCATATGATTTCGTCGATATAAATACACTCGAGAACGGATATTGTATGAGAAAGTTATAAATTTTAAACAGACTTTAGGTCTTTAAGAACAATATTGTTTAAAATATAGCTTTAAAAATAAAGTCAAAATTAGGCGATGAAGTCTAAATGAAAGTTGTAGATATCGTTGAGAGATTTTTCGAGGATAAAAAGAACGTTAAAAACGACGCTCGTATGAAGAAGTTACGACATTTTGAAAATCTAGAAATTCGCACGCGCGGCGCCCGACGTGTAATCATGACCTGTCACCACGAGAGAGTGCTACATGGCATGGTCGGCCGCACCCTTCCATCATCAACAAGGCAACATGACACCACAATAATGCGACATATGGCGCCACAAGAAGACGACACGTGACATGTTTTAGAAGGGGCATGGGTGGCCCACTCCAATCGCGACACGTGGCAGGAGGCTGGAGGAGCTAGCAAGGCGACCATGTGTGGTGTGCCCTGAACGTTGCACAGCGCGCCTATGCTGGATGGCTATAAATACCTCCAAGTTCTTGCTCATTTCCTTACAATTTCACTTCCAATCATTCTTAAAACCTCTCTGCTTTTTAGGTCTGATTTTCTTATGTTTCTTGAATGTTTTAGCTAGGCTCTAGTGTAGCTAGGAGCCCGACATCATAGAGCTTTCGGTTTCGGAGTCCCTACCGCGTAATTTTCCCGGTTTTCGCTAAAACCTCTGTAAGTTAAGCTACATTCTAGTCTTTTCGGTGTAACTTATATTTATAGTCATAAGTCGTTATTTTGAATCTATAAATAAGATTTATTAGTAATTCCAAGTCAAAATGTTGATTGATCTACTTACGGGAGAGGTGTCTAGAATGGTCACGTTGGCTTGGTTGTTGGATTTCAGAAAGGCTATACGCCGAAATGGTCATGCCTCCTAGTTGTCCTACCTGGCTGATCCTTACTTGATATAACTCTCAGTATTCATTGGTATTAGTGAGGAATCTAGACTATCATTAGTCACCAGGAATGTTAGACTAAGACTTAGTGACATTCGTATCTAGGTCACGTCAGAGGAAAAGTTTTGAAGTTTGGCGGAGCGCTGCCGAATTCTTCGGTCACCCACCTAAGTCAAGTGAGTGCATAGTTACTTTCAAACTTACACATAGATACAAGTATTGTAATTGCTTAAATGCTATATGCGTTGTCTTAATGTATTTAATATGTATGTGCAACATGATATAGTTATTACTTGGTTAAACCATCTATACTTTATTATATTTAATAATAAGATTGGGTAGTAATGGGTTGTGTGGAATAATAAAAGAAAGGGCATGCTAGAGTCGTATGAGATAGTAGCTATGATAGGTTAGTGAGAACTGTGCAAAATAATAAGTCGTGTATGTCGTGTCTATCCCAAGTACTTTTGTACTGTCGTGTTTATTCAAAGTATTATTGTATTGTTGTGCCTTCGGTGTCCATTTAAAGTATTATTGTATTGTCGTGCCTGTCATGAATATCCAAAGTACTAATGTATTGTCGTGTTGCCATGTTTACCCAAAGTATTATCATACTGTCGTGCCTAATCATCTAGGAATTATAGTTGTCTGCTGATAAAGGTCCTTT